TATACGGTTACATGCCACTTTACAGAAGCATGTTGCCCATAAACTACATGTCCCACAATGCATCTCGTTTTGTGACATGCGCACTGAAGAGACTTGCAATTATTTGCCCTGGACTTCTGCTTTCAGACGTAGTTAATTACTACGTTATTATCCTATCCGATAATAATCCAATTCAGAGGCAATAATGTAATACATTATTTTATATATTATATATTTATATAGTTACAACCGGCCCTTTGACTGCAACCTTTATGCGAATGTGGCCCACGATGAGATTGAGTTTGACACCCCTGACTTAAGGGGAGACACTACAGGTGAATACAGTCAAATGTGTATCCAATAACGTCATCACAATCGCCACATTGATATGCAAATTAGGCGTTAACTAGGCCTAATTAAAATATGCAAATTTGCATGCAGTTGCCAAGGCATTGCAGGTGAAAAAAAACTAAACATATCACCTCACAACTTCCCCAGATAGTTACTTACGTCAAGTCAGTATTTTCCCCGGATATGTGATGTTTAAATTCAGATAGCTTTAAATCTATAGATGAATTCAGACATAACGATCTTTTAGCCTGTAATGTCCTTAAACAGTAACTTCATAATTTTGATTGTTGGCAGCTCATTTAATAACTATTAATTGTACTAGTTTGTGGTCTGCTCTTGTGCGTAGTGAATACTAAAGAAGACCATTGTCTCTGTGTTAGCTGATTATTTTTGTATTAAACAATTGTGTGAGTGTGAGGGTATTAAAATAAATTGGTCAGTAAGTCAGAGATGTGCAACCATATTTAAGTTTTTGTTTTAAAACATTTTTTTATAAATTATTATGGGAAGTGCCCTTTTTCTCTCTTGAGCTCCTGCCCCCCAAAATGTCTGTGCACGTCCCTGGTAGTGTGTGTGCTTTAGACGGAGTTAAAGTGCAGTGGATTGTTGGCAACCGATAACGATATTCGTCCAGCGAAGCGACAGGACAGTGGGCTCCCTGCTGCTCCAGCATTAATCCCTGAGCTGTCATGGATCTATAGAAAGCTGGAGGCGATCTTTGTTTCTTTAGCCGCATTTGTGGGGTTATTTTTCAGGTGCCATAGAGGCGCAGTGATTCTTTTGTGATGCGGTCACAGCTGTGTGTTTACATAAAGTTCAGAAGCAGCTCAGTCAATCACAATCAAGGATATTAACTATCTGTTCATAATTATTTTGTTATTATAAGAACAGCTGTTTTTATTCTAGCTCAAATCTCTTCTACAAAGACTGCCAATAACACTGTCTGCACAATGGTACCTGACATTTGTAAATTACATTTCACCCATGAACGCTGTGATCTGGCTTCAGCGATTTGTTTTGCTAGATTTCTTACATTTTGAAAAGCTAAGATATTGGTGCCTCATTCCCTAATTTCAGTGTGTGTGTTGCAGTGTCAGTGTGTGTGTCGGCCTGAGCGTGTGTTATTTTGGTGGATGAACACTGCCATCTAAAGGCAGACAGCCACATTACACATAGAAACATTTTTTCTCCTTGCACAATCTGTTTGTGCAACACACACACACTCACAGTGTCCTACTGTATAGCTCCTGGGCAGTACGTCTAAAGGTCATTGTCCTGCAGGGCCCTCCTGGCAAACACCCCTGGAGTCCAGCAAATACAGTCACACACACACACACACACACACACAGATTCCATTTAAACATGCACACACACACACACACACACAGATTCCATTTAAACACACACACACACACACAGATTCCATTTAAACATGCACACACACACACACACACACACACAGATTCCATTTAAACACACACACACAGATTCCATTTAAACACGCACACACACAATCTTTTCCCTATCTTACAATTGTATGAGAATAAGTTTGCCAGATGAATCCATATTAGTGGAGTTAGGAGAGGAGGGCGTTACGTTTTTTAACAATGAAGCTAACAGAAATGTTTTTTTATAAAAAGGTTTTCGTTTTGAATGAGCCATAAATAATTTCATTCATTAATTTAGGCTAATTAATTTTTCTTTTGGGGACAAATCATGCATTAGCCGATTTATCATGTTACATATACATAATTATTCAGTTTGTAGTGTCTATATTATACTGTTTTTATTTATACCAGCTCTATAGTGTATTCAATATATATACTACTGTTTATACCCATATATACTGCTCATACTGAATGTACTCTAACTGGTTTATGTCTATCATGTGTATCTTCTAATGATATACTACAGTATATATAACACTGCTCTTAACTGCTTCTGCACTTCTTGTTAGATGCTTAAGGTATTTTATTGTCCTGTACAGTTGAATCTAATCTAATATCATCTATTAATTTAAAGAGACAGAAAACTAGCACATCCTCAAATTTAGATTTAGTTCACAAAATGTGGCTGAAATACTTTCTGTTAATCATCATTACTTTAGATCTATCTTTATTTGTTTTCCTTTGTGTGACTAACACATTCACAGATCAGGAGGTTCTGCAAACCTGTGTATTGGAGAGGCCACAAAGTCACACACTAACTTCATTTCACACACACACACACACACACACACTAATATGTGAGCAACAAACATCAGCTGTGAGCACACAGAGTGAGGGCTGCAGGAGGCTGGCTGTGATGTTTGGGTAGATAGTCTAGTCTGACATTTCATGGTCATTATGTGTCATTACCCACAGCGGGGGTACACACTATCACACACTGGGGTAAAGTGGGTGGTTTTGACCCATAATTTACTGGTTTTTGACCCAGTAGATATGATGGTAAAATGACACAGAGGTGAGGAAGGCAGGAAGGAGAACAACAGCGAGGTATTTCTGAAAAGAGAGATTGGAGCTGTTGACCTTTTCCAGAAAGGAGCGGTGATTATGAGCCGTTATGGCAGGAAAAACCTGGGAGACACCGACAATAAATACAGCACAGAGGGAAGAAGCAACACAAAGGTTATCAGGCAGAAGGGGGAAAAGGAGAGGAGACAGAAAGCTGAGCTAAATGGATTCCAAGTCAAACTATAAAAGTCAAACGGTACAAGCAGCTGAACTAAAGGCTGTTCAGACACTAAATAATTCAGAGCGTTTGTTTTCCGTGCCGGGAGGCCCAGGTGGGTGGGGTCTACTCGGTCAGGGCAGATCACATCATCTGAGGCTGACATGTGAACCTCTGATCCTGGCTGGCCTCAACACACACTGCCTGCTCCTCAAAACAAATGGTTTCAAATGTTTGTTTTGTATGTTTTACAGCCGATTGGGAAGAAGCTACTGGGCCAAGGAAGAATCAGGGATGTATACATTTACGTTTTCCTTAAAGGTGGGGTAGGTAATTTTGGAGAAACCAGCTCGAGTGCGCTAGAATTTGAAAATACACAACCGGAAAAAATCTGCCACTTCCTCACAGAGCCCCTCCTCCAACACACACGAACGCGCACATGACCAATGAGGGCACGAGATAAGTTTGTGCACAGATGGAAGGCTGATAGGCAGGTAGGCCATCCAGTTACTTTAGCCGGGCCGAAGCAGATGATTGGTCGTGCTTTTTACAGACGCCACGGCTTCCACAGATGAATTGTTTTATGTATATTGTCAAAGCATTTAATATAATCATTGCTATCGAGATGTTAAGAGCATTCCATGGAATATAACACGTGTTTCTGAAGGGAATTACCTACCCCACCTTTAAGCCACGCTTCAAATCTGTTACATCAAATTAATGGAGTCATTCTGAATTTGGCTTGTAGTGTATTTTAAGATCCTAAGGATTTAAATAAAGGTTCAGCCTTGGTAGTTGATTTATCTCATAAAAAAATGATTACAGACGTCTATTTCCCGATGTAAGTTAATGGTAAAAAAACTATTTTTTCGGCCCAATGACGTCACTTGACTGACTTCAAGTAAAGTACAGCTCAAAAAAAGAATCCCTGCAGATTGTTTTTGTCTACCATTTTGACATTTAAGATTGTTCATAACTGCTTGAGTCACACACACACACACACACACACACACACACACACACACACACACACACACACACACACACACACACACACACACACACACACACACACACACACACACACACACACACACACACACACACACACACACACACACACACACACACACACACACAGTGCTATAGGGCTGACCTTTGGGTTGTCGGCAGCACAGTTTTAATTGGTCTCTGACTTTAGCCAGCTATCTGACCAGTGTGTGTGTGTGTGTGTGTGTGTGTGCGCGTGCGTGTGTGTGACCAGTGTGTGTGTCAAATCTGAATCAATTCAAACTCAACATTAGGAGTCCAGTAGAGTGACATTTGACAAAAAACCGGAACAGTTCTTCAGCCTGCAGTCTCAGTAAGTGCTCACGTCTTTGTCAGATTTTCTCTCAGTTCGATTTCTCGTGAAAGAGTTGGTCCTTAACAAACCACAATGATACTAAGAAGAACAACCCAAACATTGTTCAATGGCAATTAAACAATTCAGTGTGACATCTCAATTAAAGGCTCACCCTCCAGCATTCATTCACTTGGCTGAACGTCATTTGTAGGAGCCATTTATGTGTATTGTTGCCATGTAATTGTATGGTGTGTTACTAACTGCACAGGGGGATATCAGTTGGAGCATTGGTAACAGGAAATGGAAGCTAGAAGACGCTGCAGGGCTATAGATGCTAACAGACGCTAACAAAACAGCACTGGCAGAATAGAAAACCTGGTATTGTACAACTACTTCAATAAACCTGAAACTAAACTATATATTTCTACTGAAATCATCTGTTTGAGTCTGCATCTGATCAATTTCCCCACCTACCCATGTCATAATGGCATATAGAACATATGGGACACATAAATGCCCTAATATGATCATCCACCACTCAAAGTCTCTCTTCTGTGGCGTGTGTGTGTGTGTGTGTATATGTGTGTGTGTGTGTATATGTGTGTGTGTGTGTATATATATATGTGTGTGTGTGTGTGTGTGTGTGTGTGTGTACCTTGTCAGCATTGTCTGCCGCCAGCAGGTTGGTGGCGAGCGTCTGCAGTTTGTGCGTGGCCATGTTCTTCAGCGCGGCCAGGCTGCGGCGGGTCATGGCCTGCTTCAGGTTCACTGCAGAGTGGCTCAGAGCGTCCACGGTGGCCGGGGCCAGCTCGTCGCAGGCGCTCAGGATCTCTATCGCCGTGATCCCCATCACACAGCGGTCCAACGCGCCTGGGAACGCACAATAGTGATCAGTCGTGTCTCTAACCCTTAAAGGTCACCTATTATACTGTTTTTAGGCATACATTATAGGTCTCAGTGTTAGCCATGCTTGCTAATGTAAACACAGACCATATTACGTCCAAAACGCATTGTTTCTGATACAGCAACGTTTTTGATAGGGTCGTGGGCGTAAAGCCAGCCTACATTTCCGATATTACGTAATATCGGCAGCAAATCTGGATCAGCTCCGTTGTTCCCCCGTTTTTAGAGATTTGGGTACGGAGGGAAAAAGAGACGGTTTGGTTTCTTTGTGAGTTCCCCGACACACCGGGGACACATGTTTATGTATAAAAGACATCAAAAAGTGCATTTTGCATGATAGGTCCCCTTTAATACAGTCTAATTATTATGTCTAATATTAATGTACTTAAGTTTACTGTTCTAAGATCCGATTTAAAAGCAGCAACCCATCTCCAAACCGGAGAAGTGTTCATCCTGATCTCACCTGTGTCCATCTGCCAGACGTAGACGGAGCCGTCGGAGCAGCCCACCACCAGGTAGTCGTCTGCCGGACGCCACTTGATGACCTGGATGGGGAAGAGGTGTCTGGACGCCAGCATGATGCACTTCCTCTCCCTCAGACTGAGCAGACCCACAGAGTGATCGCTGGCCACCGAGCAGACGCAGTGCTGCACCCGAGTCTGCAGAGGACACTCACAGGGGTTAAAGGATCATACGGAGAACCTGGGAAATCCATGTAAGCTCACCCAGTCAACCAATCGCATTGTATTCATATGGACCAATATAACAAATTACACATTTGTCTTAGCATACAGAAAAACTCCCATAGAAACCCCAGAATGATTGGGCGGAGCAACAAAGACGGTATTCCTCTCCCAGGACTGATAGACATGCAATGGATGTCATGTGTATACATGTTTAGAATAAAAGATAATAGAGAATCAGAATTAGGAACATGCGACCGATCCTCCTTCTCTCCAAGGCCAAAACGGTGACACTTAGCTTAGCAAAAAGACTGGAAGCAGGGGGAAGACATATTCAAAATGTCACACAATATCTATTCTCATTACTCAATATCAATATCAGCGGAGATTTCATTTGGCTGCATGTGCTCATTAAACCAGCTGTTTGCTTGATCAGGAAAGTATGTCTTTGGAAAAACTCGTCAAAGAAAGTGCCAAATTAGTTCTGTAACATTTTTGAAGAACTTAAAAACTCAATTTAAGGTTTTAAGGATTTTCCAAATGTGCAGACAGAAAACATGTAGTGTCCTAATTTAATTAAAGTGAGTGAGATATCATATTGGCCCGACTCCGATAAACCGGTGTGTGTGTGTGTGTGTGTGTGTGTGTGTGTGTGTGTGTGTGTGTGTGTGTGTGTGTGTGTGTGTGTGTGTGTGTGTGTGTGGCCTAGCATTACTATACTTGTGGGGACCTAAATCTGTTGACACAGTCACGTGTGGGGACTGGCTTCCCCTTATGGGGACTTATTGGAGGTCCCCATGAGGGGAATCATTCATTTTAGGGTGAAGTTAGGGTTAGGGTTAGGGTAAGGTTAAGGGTAAGGTTAAGGGTTAGGCATGTGTTGGTTATGGTTAGGATAAGTCTCCAGGAAATGCATGTAAGTCAATGTAATGTCCCCTGAAGTGATGTATACATGGTATGTGTGTGTGTGTGTGTGTGTGTGTGTGTGTGTGTGTGTGTGTGTGTGTGTGTGTGTGTGTGTGTGTGTGTGTGTGTCTAACATTTGAACACAACAAACCAATGTCGTTAGAATTCTCTCCGACAATGACATCAGACCCTTTAGTAATTTAGGCAACACAACACACTACAGAAAGAAAATAAACAAAAGTGAAACTCCAGACAGAGAAAAGAGAGTGCGTCTATGTAAGAGCTAAATCCCAGAGTCAAAAGGTCTTACACTGCAGTTCTCCGGCGGGACGATGAGCTGCGTGATCTCTCCTCCGTGGACGCAGAAGATGTGCTTCATCTCTCCGGTGAAGATGTCCCAGACGATGACGGAGAAGTCCACTCCTCCGGACACCAGGGAGCGCTGGTCGTAGCGAGGGGAGATCTGGTGCGGGTACAGGACGCACGTCACCTTGTTCCGGTGTCCTCGCAGGGTGCGGTGGGGCGGCCAGCCTGCGGGACGGACAGACACAACACTCAGAAATGGACGAAGACGTACTATACTGAGGATGGGACTATTTCACTTTATTATCTATTTTAATACATGGTGAGGTCTCTTCAAACTGGCTTTTAATGTGTGCTTGTTGTTTTATTGCTCGATTTTAATGTGACTTTTACTATATTGATTTGTTGTCCTTTTTTTACTACCTCTGTAAAGTGACTTTGAGCACCTGTAAAAGCTCTTACAAAATAAATGTATTATTATTATTATGTGGAGTCATCAGCAGGGTATCTGCAGTAACAGGAGCTTTTCACTTTATTCTTTTTCTGAATAAGGTAAAGTTTGATAGACTTTACTAGTGTGATGAAATTAAGACAAGATAAAGGAATAAACAAGTCATGTTAAATAGTAATGAGACTGCATTTATATAGCGCTTTTCAAGACTTTGTGACAACTCACAACACTTTTACTTTCACAAATCAGCACTCACCCATATTCATTCAAAGCTGCCATACACACACACACACCATGTAAACATCACTTCAGAGGACATTACATTGACTTGCATGCATTTCCTGGAGACTTACCCTAACCTTAACCAACACATGCCTAACCCTAACCCTTAATGATTCCCCTCATGGGGACCTCCAATTTGTCCCCATAAGGGAGGCGAGTCCCCACACGTGACTGTGTAAACAGATTTATGTCCCCACAAGTATAGTAATGCTAGGCCACACACACACAAAAAATTGGAGTCAAGTATCTTGCCAAAGGAGACATGTTGACTGCAGGAGCTGGTGATCAACCCACCAAATTTCAGATGTTCTAACCACTACTCAACCTTCTGACCGGGTATAGTTAATTTCAAAATCGATAAAAGTTATTCTCATCACGAGCTAAAGTTTCCACCCTCCTCCTCACCTCTCCGCAGCATGTGCTCGCCCTGCAGCAGCTGGACGATGGCGGTCTGAGTGGCAGGAACCAGGATGATGCTGCCGTCTTCTCTGCCGCACACCAGGCGGCCCTGAGAGGGGATGTAGACGCTGGCCGTCACCTGAGGGAACAGAACACACACACACACAGTCAGGAACACACAACCTGAAAGGGTGATTATCCATCCATCCATCCATCCATCTTCTTCCGCTTATCCGTGGTCGGGTCGCGGAGGTATCAGTTCCAGCAGAGAGCCCCAAACTTTATTTTCCCTGGCGACATCAACCAGCTCTGACTGGGGGATCCCAAGGCGCTCCCAGGCCAGCGAAGAGATATAATCCCTCCACCTGGTCCTAGGTCTACCCCTTGGTCTCTTCCCAGCTGGACGTGCCTGGAACACCTCCCTAGGGAGGCGCCCAGGTGGCATCCTAACTAGGTGCCCGAACCACCTCAACTGGCTCCTTTCGACACGAAGGAGGAGCGGCTCAACTCTGAGTCCCTCCCTGATGACCGAACTTCTCACCTTATCCCTAAGGGAGACACCAGCCACCCTGCGGAGAAAACCCATCTCGGCCGCTTGTATCCGCAATCTTGTTCTTTCGGTCATGACCCATCCTTCATGACCATAGGTGAGGGTAGGAACGAAAATGGCCCGGTAGACAGAGAGCTTTGCCTTCTGGCTCAGCTCCCTTTTCGTCACAACGGTGCGGTAAAGCGACTGCAGTACCGCTCCCGCTGCTCCGATTCTCCGGCCCATCTCACGCTCCATTGTTCCCTCACTCGAGAACAAGACCCCGAGATACTTGAACTCCTTCACTTGGGGTAAGGACTCATTCCCTACTTGAAGTGGACAGTCCATCGGTTTCCTGCTGAGAACCATGGCCTCAGATTTGGAGGTGCTGATCCTCATCCCAGCCGCTTCACACTCGGTTGCGAACCGATCCAGTGAGTGCTGAAGGTCGCAGGGTGATTATCCAATTAACTAAACTTTAGTTTGCTGCAATTAAGGCCTGATATACTGCCATCTGAACTGATGCACCTCCAGATGTCTTAGTAAGGAGTTCAAATTCAATTTCAGAAAGCATATTGCAAATCAAAACAGGTATTTCGAAGAAAATTAAGGAGCTATTATATATGAATATAAGCAACAGAAACAAATCTAATCCACCTGTGTGAACTTTCAACACTAAACGGAACGAAGGTACTTTTTTTACAGGACATTAACACCTGAAGTCCACCACATAGGAACATCTATACAAACTTTTATACATACATAACGTTTTGAGGGTGCATTAATCAAACATTATTTTGATCAAGGACTAGAAATATAAGCGTTTCAAAGAATGGTGCAAGAATGAGTCCTTAAACCCCAATACGAGCACTTCTGTTTCCATCGTCTGGAAGTCATTGTTTTTTGGATTGTAATTTTATTTAGATACCTGAAACAACTTTGAGAAATGTTCACGTTTTGCGACATAAAACAAGTCAGTTAATGCCCCACTGGTGAAGGTCTGAGGCTTCTGTGAGTCAAATAATCAGCTACTACTACTTAATGATATGCCGCTGAATATTAGCCGCCTTTAGCTTAGGGGTTGTGACCGTGATGTTGTTCGTTTGTGTCCTAACGTTGCTTTTTACTTCCAGAGACATGTAAGCATCAACAACTGTTAAGAGCGGTGTTAATATGTGGAGATTTTCCTGCTGAACAAAATGTGGAAGTATCATAAACGTGGGTTTGCAACAGAGTTTTTTTTCTTCAATAATCGAACATCCAATGGGAAAACGCCATGTTTTTTTATCAAGCGAGCCGTCATCGCTGCACCACTCTAGTGTCTGGGTTCAAACCTTGATGGGTGCGTCTTGTCCAGGCAGGGCGCTGAGCTGGTCGATGATCCCTGAAGACACGGGGGACAACTTATCAAACGACTCCTGGAGACTGATGGTGGACGACACCTGCAGCGCTGCACAGAGGAAGAGAGAGGATAAGTAGTCATTATATCGAATCAAATAAAGACGGTATCAAATAAAACATTAAAACTTAAACAAGGAATAGAAAAGGGAAACATTTAGAGCCTTGTTCATTTATACTTGATGCCATTTTAAAATATCCTACATACATCCTTCAAGTTTAATTTATATTATTCAAATCATGAGTCCTGTAAGCAGGGCCGGCCCTGACCAATTTGCTGCCCTAGGCAACATTTTAGCTGGCCCCCCCCCAAAAATGCAGACACTCACTATGACTCGCGCATGCATGCACGGTTGTGGCATGACCACCAAAACAGAAAGATATGGACACATATGTGCAACTGCATTTAGTATCCTATCCATTTGAACATGATTTAAGTGGGGGGGGGAACCTAACCTCCTCTCGGGGGGTCCGGGGGCATGCTCAAAAAAGCATCAATCTGGTGCACTTTGAGAGCAACATTAAGAGATCTATGGATACATCTCTCAACACATATGAAACAGAACTGTAAGCAGATTTTATTTTTCTTTATGGATATTTTACAAATCACTCTCCTTTTAAACTGTATTCTTGTTTATTAATAACAACTTTTTTTACTGTCATATAGTATTTTATACTATAAGAGAATAGATGAAAATCTATTCTCTTATTTTTTTATAACTATAATGATTATATAAAGGTGTGCCTTTACCTCACTGAGCTGAGGTTATCAGAGCCTCTCAGTCTTTCAGGAGAGAGCTCTCTAAAGCTCTCCGCCCCGCGGCCGCGTACACAGTAAATACCAAAGTTAATAACAGCTGTATACGTTTTTTGGGAGTTTGATTTATTTTAAATTAACACAAATACAAAATTAAAACCTATAATTGCACACTAAAACCATTATTTAAAAAAAAAGAACATCTTGGCCACCAGATGTCCCTCAGCTTTGTAAACTTTAGCTGCATCTCACTTCGGTTAAATGGATTCCTTGCGTCACTCACTTGTGTCGTTTCCCTGCGACTAGTCCCTCCCACCAGGGAAGCATGGAGAGACGCAAGGAAACCACAGAAGCAGGGAAATGAGTTTTAAGAGCAATGGGACGTCGTTTCCTCCGGAGCGTCACGTGAAGCGACGTCCGTTTGTGATGACGCCTCACAGCTGATCGTCTGACAGCAGCCGAGGATTTCACCGGAGGATGGTCTGGTAGTTCCTCGATGATCTCTCCTCCGTTATCACTCCTCGGTCCTCAGGCACAAATAAGGCCACTGGGACGCTACTCAAGATGGCGCAGACAAATCAACTTCCGGTGAAACCGAGCCCGAGGAGCGAGGAAATGAAAAATAACCGAAGTGAGACGCACCCATAGAACACATAATAAAAGTGTCTTATTTTGAGTCAAAAGTAAATATATTTTGGACAATTGATTAACTGTGAAGCACACAATAATTATGTTGAATTTATATTGGTATATATCATTATGAAAATCTTGCACTAATGTACATTCCCAAAGATATTGAAGTGACCGTTATTTTGTATATATTGATTGTTGTGCTTTTATCTTAATGTGTGCATAAGTATAAATATAGGATATACATATTTTATACATATTTTTATATACATTTGTATTTTTCTTTTATTCGGGATTGTGAGAAACAGTATTTTGATCTCTCTGTCTGTACACACAAACTGAAAGATTGACAATAAAGTTGACTTTGATTTGACTTTGACTGACTTACATCAATGGTTACTAAATGCTGATGGCATCAAGTTTGTTCTTATCTGCGTGATTTTTCTCACATAAAAGAAAATAGTTTTTGAAAGATCGTTCTGTAATGTCACAGTATGGACAGACAGCTTCATCTCCAGAGAACTGATCCCTACCTGCGGCGGTGGACAGCGGCTGCAGAGGCGAGTTGTCGGGGACGCTCCACAGGGACAGTCGGCCCGCTGAGTCCCCCTGGATCAGCAGCTTGTGGAAGGGCTCCCGTCGGCCGAAGAAGAACCGAGTTACCGGAGGACAGATCAGGAGCTGGGGATAAAGACATGTCAGCATCTGAAGCCCTGAATATCCACAAGAAACACCTGGAGAAGCAGTGTTTTGGGAAATAAGGAAAACACTTCAATTGTCATGCCACATGGGCCAAACCAGCAACAACACACAGCAAACTGCAGGAAAGCTGGATGTAGCCGCTGTAGTTCAATGATCTTAAGTGTTGCTTCACCCATAAGAACATGTGCTGATGAAGCACAGGGGAAGGACTGGTGGGGTTAAAATGACAAGTACAAATAGGATGAGGGTCATGTGACCTAAGCTATAGAAGTGGCCAGGTGCTTATATACACCAATAGACAAACCCTGTCTGATATCCTATCTCTCTCAGCTGTTTTGCTCCACTAATTTCCTTTACTTACAGGATTGTATTTATATAAGCTTGGCATGCCCTATATGTATTAGTAAGGCTTTCCACAAATGTCATCAATTGATATATTGCAATAGACATTTTAGGACAATGACTGAAATACACTTCTAACAGTCTGCAGCCATGCTAGCAACGGTTCTGTTCACCGTCTTACATTAGTATGTGTAATTAAAAGTTGTTTTAGGTTTAACCATTAGAGGCAGTGACGTTTTTTTTAAGAGATCACAAAAGTTATTGCGATCCAAACTAACAGAAACATTTAGACAAGATCTCTGGTTATGAGGAGGGATTTTCATATTTTGGAAATAGAACGAACTGAAAATAGTATGCTGTGCTAAATCCTTATCATTTGTACAATCTCTGGTTTGACTGAGTTATTATGAGAGTTTCTTAACCTCATAAAATCTTAATCACTCATCATATTTGTCCCCCACCAAGAGAAGGTGATCAGGTGTGATTTACAGTAGCTATCTATGTCCATTCACAGGTGAACGAAGCACTGTGAGGTGCCGCCTGTCCACTGAAGGAGTCATGGACAACATCAAGAGCTATAGACAAGGACAGATGTGTCAGATCTATCACTCTGGATACACGAGAGCGTGACGTCCCCAAACAAGGTGGGAAACTCACCAGGGCTCAAACGCTAAGGAAGGACCAGGTGAAATTAGGTCAGTTTTGTTAAGATTTAAAAACAAAACCTGGGATGATTGTTTGTCTCGTTACCAGCCATGACACGATGTGAGGAAGACTTCATGCATACTGTTTACAAGGTTTCGTGCACACATGGCTGCAGGTGCTGTGCCTTGTGAGCCAATCAAAAGTCTGCTGCAGCCCAACGACTTCTAACCTTTGACTCTACTGGAAAAATAACTATTCAAATAAGTATCCATTTATATTTTTGTTCACATTTTAAACTTTTTTTGTCTTAAAAAAGGGACAATCCACCCCAAAACACAACTTATTAAGTTATTCCCCAACTGTATATATCTTTGCTCTAAAATACGCAAGTAACAGTCACTCAGAAACTTATGTGAAGAGCACAAATTCAGTTATTTTGCAATATCATGCTGTGACCTGCTACTTTTTGTGGCTGTAGTCAACAGATTGAAGACAAATACGAGCTTTACTGGGATCAGATCATTTAAAAAAACGATAATTAAACATATCTAGCCTCTAAGTTACCAATGCTAACACCTAGCTTCCTTCTTACTGTCTTAAACGGAGTCTAAGGTGTTCGTCTAAATAAGGTATTTTCTAGAATCTGTGGGGAGGTGGAGGGGAGAGAACATGTAAATAATGAAAGCTTGTAGGTGTTTATAAACCTGTAGCCGTGTAAAGTGAATGGATACGATCATCACAGCAAATGTAAAATATTGAAAGAGGTACAGAAGCAGGGAAATGGCTGAAGTGTGTGTAAGCGCTTACTTCAGAACATCTCAACACGATAGACAGAAAGTTTGCAAAGTGCCACCAAATGCAGTTTTTTTAAACACTCAATAACACACACACACAAAAAACACATATTGATATAAGATACAGTATATTAGATAAAAATCCAAGGTTATACACAATTTACGAATTTTTTGGCGGCATGCAAAGATGCAACTAGATGTGGATTTGTGCTGGGAAACGTGAATTAAATGTATCAACTTGCACGGGAAATTCCTACAACACTGTGCAGTGAAAGCCTATCAGCGTTGAGATAATCTCCTCACCACACTGCAGGTAAAGATTGTGGATTGCAACCAGTCCCCCCACACTCCATTTCTGCTAATAGATCCCCCTAAATGCTTCAAAATGGCCTTTTTAAATCAACACTTCCTTCATGTGTCTAAAATGAGAAATAGGACAGGGATGAGTCATTATTTCTGAGCCTCTGGAAAATATAAGCAAGCACATTTAAAACAAAAAGCCATGATGTTCCTACTTTGTTTTTGTGTTTTGGCTTATCATAACTTCAGCGGGTCATTATTCTTGTTAAAAAGCAGCTTGGAGACTTTGCATGCATCTTCATCAGTATGAAGACAGATGAGGAGGGTGAGGGTGCTTTTAGAGGAGACATTTTAGTTTTAGTGGGAAGAGAGCATGAAGTCAGGTGAACCAGAATGAGTTCAGTCTCTTAGTCCGGCAGGAAGGAACCCAGGAGAGGAGTAAAAGAAAACAGGCACTTCACTCTCTACGGCATCCACTCAGCGGCTTACGGTTCTACCTCCACTTGTTGGTTCTTCCTAAACAATAACTACCACTCACATGTTAAACTTCCATAATGTTATTTAATTGACAGCAATAAATGGCTGGAGGTTTAATTGTCATACCCCTTTTCCATCGAGGCAGTTCCAGACCCGTTTCAGTCCGTTTGTGAACCAGTATTTCATGTGGCCCCACAAACTGTTAAAATGTGCCAGCAACTACTTGACCAATAAGCAGCCAGATCTGAGGAGCCACATTATTCAGAGTTATGGCGGAGCAACATCAGTTCATGGCGAGACTAGAAAGATTAGTCGGTGCTAGCTTCGGTGGCTAGGCTAACATCATCAATGTAATATGAGAGAAACCTCACACTTCACAATCTTTAATTCAAGGCACTTTGATGCCAAACATTGTCAATTAAATCAATAAGAATTATAATTGATGGGAAAATCTGCATCAGGGTGTGGCATCAAAATCTGGTGTGGCAGCATGACTGTCAATTACTTTCAAGCGTAGTTGCAGACTATCAGAAACATTATTCTGATCAAGAGCATGACGTTGGAGAAGTTGTGCTTGCAATCCAATTTGGCTTCATAGGTTTCATAGCAAGTGAGCACAGCTCTTAAGTAGAACGCCATTGTTGTCGTTTTGGCGGATGCTGCCCATGTAGCCAATTAAATAAGGGTCCCCTCTCTGTCTCTGGTCAGTGGTAAGGCAAATGTTTTTTAGTCAGTTTGAAAGTTGACCAACTGCAAACTAGTCTCGGCATTGAACTAGAATGGAGCTCATGTCAGTGGAAAAGGGGCATCTGAGCCTCCGACTGCCGTTATGTTAGGCAAATTAGAATTAGTCTCGACACCGCAAAGCCCTTGAGTTTTCATATCAGTTTTCGTTTCAAATGCATCAATTAAGCATGGAAGTCTAGAAAGGATAAAAGACCCTGAGTTAATCTATCTCTCCCCCCCCGTTATCTCCGAGCTGCAGGGTGGATGTGAGCCACTGAGAGGATGTGTGTGTTTGCTGCTGTTCTCACAGCTTGCTCCTCTCAGCTCATCACTTTCTGGCTGAGCTGCCAATACAGGAACCTATCGTTTATTTTCAATGTGTCTTCATGCAAAGTACATTCGTTATAGTCTTAACTATTACATCTGCCTACACCTGACAGCAACCGCACTTTTAAAAAGGACCATACCAGGTTTTTCACAGATTGTTTTTAAAGATGTCTCCACAAGGAAACTGTAGAAAGATTTAAAGCACATTTAGTGATCTTAGTCGGCTTTGTTTTTCAAGTACAACAATTATTCAAATGTTGTTTAACAGTGAATCTAACTAATTAGCCAACTAACCAAAAATAAGTAAATAAAATAATTTCTAAAATAGCAATAATTTTAAAGCCAATACTTTGGAATTATGGTATAAAAAAAATAGGACAAATTCAAATAGTGTATAGTCAGCAGCAGTATAAAGAACATGTGTAGTGAATGGGGTTAAACGTGCTAAATCATTGGTATGGTGCTTTCAAAATAGTATTATGCTTTTAATTTATCTGATGCAGCAAATCTAACTTATCATTTTTGCATACACTTATTTAAACGACATGCAAAATGACATGACTTTGTGATTCTCATATTTAAAATAAAGCGTTTTATTTCAAATTAAGACTACTATAGCCTAATGTAAGTGTTGTAATAGAGTGGTGCAGGAATGAGTTATAAACACAGAAATAAGTCAGCATTTCAGCACTTCCTGTTCCCTTGACCGGAGTTAAAGTTATTTTGAACTTGTTTTTGGTTAGATGCCTAAAATAAGATCTGTTGTCAACACAAGCTTAAGAAAAATCATGTTTTAGGTTCATTACAAGAAGCTAAATGAGACTACTAAATGTCATTCCAGCCAACATTAGCCGCTTTTAGCTTAGCAGTGGTGAGGTGAAGTCATGTGACCGTGATGCAGTTCCTTTATAGCCTAACGTTAGCTTTTTACTTATAGCAGTTGCATTTTAAAAATCATAAAGTGGTGTTAAGATGGCGATTATCCTGCTGAATAAAACGTATCATAAACGTGTCTTTGCCAAATATCGTATTTTCTGCAATATTCCATTTGAAAAATCTCATTGCTTTTTGTCAATGCTAATTTCCAGGTCGTCCTATAGAAATACACCATCACTGCACCACTCTATAATGTTCATTTTAAGCTTTAGCAGCTCAGCCAAGAACGTGAAGCTTCTCTTCCTGCCTTTGGTGTTCAGAGTGCACTTTCTGGGGCTTACTGGTGCCTCTAGAGGCCGGTGGTGGTAAAGCAGCTCTGGGGTGTAGAGCTTCAAGTCGCACCCGCTGGCAGGGAGGCACATCATCTCCACAACCACCTCCTCCCCATCCTCACCTCCTTCTCCTTCCTTCCCAGAGGAGTCGGGAGGTCAAAGGAGGGAGGGGGCATGGCAGCATCAAAGGACAGAAACATAAAAGGCACAACAGAAATAACAAAAAGGCACAGACAACAAATAAATACCTTCAGGACAATAAATTATAAATACACGGAACACACAGAACACACAGGGTCAGGCTCACACACAGAGATTAGCCCTGGTCTCACCATCTGATTACTGACTTCTGAATAAAGGGTATGGTTTTAGTTATTTTTAGTAGTTGTTAAGTCTGTAGATGTCATTGTTATCGTTACGTTCTCAATTACAAGCTGGTAATGATTAATAGACAACACGATCAAATTGCTAATAAATAATATGGTTAATAAAGTAAAATGTACATTTCAACAACAGATGTTTAATGGTCACCACTCTGCTGCACACAGCGCTTATTTGAAGATGATAAATGAATGAAAACAGAATTATAACAGTTTCTTTTGGTTTGTGTTGCGTTGTTGGGAGCAAAAACGTTGGTTACTATTACTTACTTATACTAAAGTAAGATTTTCAATGACAGTGAAATCCTTGGCAACAGTATCCATCTATTATTATTGGAGGTTTAAACCGACTGAGTTGAAGTGCCCAAACAACAAGAACAACCTTAACAATAAATAACAAAAACAGCTACAACTGAACAACATCATTGTCTTTTTTCAGGAGTGTACAGTACTCACTTTTCTGAGCATGTGTTTTAATATACAAATAATAAAAACTGACACTGACCTGTTTGTCTAGGCGGTCGGCGATGCTGTAGACCAGCGGAGGGATGGAGCCTTCTTTAGTTTTCCCCACATCACTGCGGTAATGTTCACTCGCAGGCAGACAGCTGAGGAACACACACACACACACACACACACACACACATTAGTTCTGTGTTTTACAGTGAGGAAAACCCATTGACGCCTTTTATCTGATTTTACAGATCCTATGACTTAGAGCACATGTGTCAAACTCGAGGCCCGGGGGCCAAATCAGGCCCTTCGTGGATTTAATTTCGGCCTGCAGGATAATTTCTAATTACTATTAGATCTGGCCCGCCGGTATATTGCACGCACACCCTCACTCCATCCTGAGGGTCTCCTCCGCTCAGAGCCTGAGCCCAAACATTGATGACCTCTCACCCAAGATGAGATGCCAAGTATCTGAGCTAGCATCACAGAGCAGCACACTGAGTTCAATGGATGTTTCCTTCTGCACTTTCTCTCTCACGACAACAGGACATGTTTGGGTTTTCTCTTTGAGGGAAATAGTTTTGTTGAAGCTGTTGTTGGCCTGTGGAAAAATGTACTCATAAGAAATGAAGCTGAACCAGTCCGGCCCTCGACTAGCACCCATTTTTAAATGTTGGCCCACTGTGTGTTTGAGTTTGACACCCCTGACTTAGAGTACGTGCCCTTCTTCTGTGGTGTTATAATATTAACAAAGCTTTATTTTTACAACATCTTACATAAGCGGGATGCTTTGACACTTTGGTACACAACACAAATAAAAAATAGAATAACATTGAAATCAAGAAAGAGGCACATATTAGGCACATATGCAGCATGTGTACATGATATGAGTCCATGTCATACAAGAAGGTAAATAGGCAGGAGAATAAATACAATAAGATAAGACTGATAACAAAAACCTAAATCAGTAACAGTAAGACAGGATAGAACAAAATGCATGAATACAAAAAAGAAATAGAAAACCGCAGAAGTAGGGGCTAACTTCAAGCTAAGGTCAATACATTGTATTTTTAGCTGTTGTTATATTTAGAAGAACACAAGACGATAAGGATCTATGATGTAAGAGAGCACCAGAGATACGAGCTTTGTTTCCAAGTCAAATCATTTAAAATCGATTCTAGCCAATGCAGTGTAGCTAAAAACAGGAGTAAGATGCTCTCTTTCTTGTTGTTGTTGTTGTTGACACAATCTGATAACACATGTTTACCTGGCGGGCAGCTTGTAGATGTAGCTGCAGCCGTCCTCCGTCCAGATGATGACTCTGTCTGCGGCGATGAACTCTCCTCCGGTCCAGGCCTGGTCGTTCTCACTGGACACTGAGCAGAGGAGCGAGTAGTCAACGGCGTCGAACACCTGACACACAGAGAGAGGTACACACATCTGCATTAACAAGAGACACAACCTGTCTTCAGCCACACAAGAGACACAACCTGTCTTCAGCCACACAAGAGACACAACCTGTCTTCAGACACACGAGAGACACAACCTGTCTTCAGCCACACGAGAGACACAACCTGTCTTCAGCCACACGAGAGACACAACCTGTCTTCAGCCACACGAGAGACACAATCTGTCTTCAGCCACACGAGAGACACAACCTGTCTTCAGCCACACGAGAGACACAACCTGTCTTCAGCCACACGAGAGACACAACCTGTCTTCAGCCACACGAGAGACACAACCTGTCTTCAGCCACACGAGAGACACAACCTGTCTTCAGCCACACGAGAGACACAACCTGTCTTCAGCCACACGAGAGACACAACCTGTCTTCAGCCACACGAGAGACACAACCTGTCCTCAGCCACACGAGACACAACCTGTCTTCAGCCACACGAGAGACACAACCTGTCCTCAGCCACACGAGACACAACCTGTCTTCAGCCACACGAGACACAACCTGTCTTCAGCCACACGAGACACAAACCTGTCTTCAGCCACACGAGAGACACAACCTGTCTTCAGCCACACGAGAGACACAACCTGTCCTTCAGCCACACGAGAGACACAAACCTATCTTCAGCCACACGAGAGACACAACCTGTCTTCAGCCACACGAGAGACACAACCTGTCTTCAGCCACACGAGAGACACAACCTGTCTTCAGCCACACGAGACACACAACCTGTCTTCAGCCACACGAGACACACAACCTGTCTTCAGCCACACGAGAGACACAACCTGTCTTCAGCCACACAAGAGACACAACCTGTCTTCAGCCACACAAGAGACACAACCTGTCTTCAGCCACACAAGAAACACAACCTGTCTCAGCCACACGAGAGACACAACCTGGTCTTCAGCCACACGAGAGACACAACCTGTCTTCAGCCACACAGAGAGACACAACCTGTCTTCAGCCACACGAGAGACACACCCTGTCTTCAGCCCACGCGAGACACAACCTGTCTTCAGCCACACGAGAGACACAACCTGTCTTCAGCCACACGAGAGACACAACCTGTCTTCAGCCACACGAGAGACACAACCTGTCTTCAGCCACACACGAGAGACACAACCTGTCTTCAGCCACACGAGAGACACAACCTGTCTTCAGCCACACGAGAGACACAACCTGTCTTCAGCCACACGAGAGACACAACCTGTCTTCAGCCACACGAGAGACACAACCTGTCTTCAGCCACACAAGAGACACAACCTGTCTTCAGCCACACAAGAGACACAACCTGTCTTCAGCCACACAAGAGACACAACCTGTCTTCAGCCACACGAGAGACACAACCTGTCTTCAGCCACACGAGAGACACAACCTGTCTTCAGCCACACGAGAGACACAATCTGTCTTCAGCCACACGAGAACACAACCTGTCTTCAGCCACACGAGAGCCAACAACCTGTCTTCAGCCACACGAGAGACACAACCTGTCTTCAGCCACACAAGAGACACAACCTGTCTTCAGCCACACAAGAGACACAACCTGTCTTCAGCCACACGAGAGACACAACCTGTCTTCAGCCACACAAGAGACACAACCTGTCTTCAGCCACACAAGAGACACAACCTGTCTTCAGCCACACGAGAGACACAACCTGTCTTCAGCCACACGAGAGACACAACCTGTCTTCAGCCACACGAGAGACACAACCTGTCTTCAGCCACACAAGAGACACAACCTGTCTTCAGCCACACGAGAGACACAACCTGTCTTCAGCCACACGAGAGACACAACCTGTCTTCAGCCACACGAGAGACACAACCTGTCTTCAGCCACACGAGAGACACAACCTGTCTTCAGCCACACAAGAGACACAACCTGTCTTCAGCCACACGAGAGACACAACCTGTCTTCAGCCACACAACCTGTCTTCAGCCACACAAGAGACACAACCTGTCTTCAGCCACACAAGAGACACAACCTGTCTTCAGCCACACAAGAGACACAATCTGTCTTCAGCCACACAAGAGACACAACCTGTCTTCAGCCACACAAGAGACACAACCTGTCTTCAGCCACACAAGAGACACAACCTGTCTTCAGCCACACGAGAGACACAACTGTCTCAGCCACACAAGAGACACAACCTGTCTTCAGCCACACGAGAGACACAATCTGTCTTCAGCCACACAAGAGACACAACCTGTCTTCAGCCACACAAGAGACACAACCTGTCTTCAGCCACACGTGAGACACAACCTGTCTTCAGCCACACGAGAGACACAACCTGTCTTCAGCCACACGAGAGACACAACCTGTCTTCAGCCACACAAGAGACACAACCTGTCTTCAGCCACACGAGAGACACAACCTGTCTTCAGCCACACGAGAGACACAACCTGTCTTCAGCCACACGAGAGACACAACCTGTCTTCAGCCACACGAGAGACACAACCTGTCTTCAGCCACACGAGAGACACAACCTGTCTTCAGCCACACGAGAGACACAACCTGTCTTCAGCCACACGAGAGACACAACCTGTCTTCAGCCACACAAGAGACACAACCTGTCTTCAGCCACACGTGAGACACAACCTGTCTTCAGCCACACAAGAGACACAACCTGTCTTCAGCCACACAAGAGACACAACCTGTCTTCAGCCACACGAGAGACACAACCTGTCTTCAGCCACACGAGAGACACAACCTGTCTTCAGCCACACGAGACACACAACCTGTCTTCAGCCACACGAGAGACACAACCTGTCTTCAGCCACACGAGAGACACAACCTGTCTTCAGCCACACGAGAGACACAACCTGTCTTCAGCCACACGAGAGACACAACCTGTCTTCAGCCACACGAGAGACACAACCTGTCTTCAGCCACACGAGAGACACAACCTGTCTTCAGCCACACGAGAGACACAACCTGTCTTCAGCCACACGAGAGACACAACCTGTCTTCAGCCACACGAGAGACACAACCTGTCTTCAGCCACACAAGAGACACAACCTGTCTTCAGCCACACGAGAGACACAACCTGTCTTCAGCCACACGAGAGACACAACCTGTCTTCAGCCACACGAGAGCCACAACCTGTCTTCAGCCACACGAGAGACACAACCTGTCTTCAGCCACACGAGAGACACAACCTGTCTTCAGCCACACGAGAGACACAACCTGTCTTCAGCCACACGAGAGACACAACCTGTCTTCAGCCACACAGAGAGACACAACCTGTCTTCAGCCACACAAGAGACACAACCTGTCTTCAGCCACACGAGAGACACAACCTGTCTTCAGCCACACGAGAGACACAACCTGTCTTCAGCCACACGAGAGACACAACCTGTCTTCAGCCACACAAGAGACACAACCTGTCTTCAGCCACACGAGAGACACAATCCTGTCTTCAGCCACACAGAGAGACACAACCTGTCTTCAGCCACACAAGAGACACAATCTGTCTTCAGCCACACGAGAGACACAACCTGTCTTCAGCCACACGAGAGACACAACCTGTCTTCAGCCACACGAAGAGGACACAACCTGTCTTCAGCCACACAAACCTAAGAGACACAACCTGTCTTCAGCCACACAAGAGACACAACCTGTCTTCAGCCACACGAGAGACACAACCTGTCTTCAGCCACACAAGAGACACAACCTGTCTTCAGCCACACAAGAGACACAACCTGTCTTCAGCCACACAAGAGACACAACCTGTCTTCAGCCACACGAGAGACACAACCTGTCTTCAGCCACACGAGAGACACAACCTGTCTTCAGCCACACAAGAGACACAACCTGTCTTCAGCCAGGTTCAGGTGTACTGCAGGTACTTGTTGTTTAGTATTACTCGTTGTACTGCAGGTACTTGTTGTGTAGTATTACTCAGTGTACTGCAGGTACTTGGTGTATAGTATTACTCGGTGTACTGCAGGTACTTGTCGTGTAGTATTACTCGGTGTACTGCAGGTACTTGTCGTGTAGTATTACTCGGTGTACTGCAGGTACTTGGTGTGTAGTATTACTCGGTGTACTGCAGGTACTTGTCGTGTAGTATTACTCGGGTGTACTGCAGTACTTGTCGTGTAGTATTACTCGGTGTACTGGCAGGTACTTGTCGTGTAGTAATTACTCCGGTGTACTTGCAGTGTACTTGTTGTGTAGTATTACTCGTTGTACTGCAGGTACTTGTTGTGTAGTATTACTCGGTCTACTGCAGGTACTTGTGTGTAGTATTACTCGGTGTACTGCAGAGGTACTTGTTGTGTAGTATTACTCGGTCTACTGCAAGGTACTTGTCCGGGTAGTATTACTCGGTGTACTGCAGGGTACTTGTCGTGTATTATACTCGGTGTACTGCAGGGTACTTGTTGTGTAGTATTACTCGTTGTACTGCAGGTACTTGTTGTGTAGTATTACTCGGTGTACTGCAGGTACTTGTTGTGTAGTATTACTCGGTGTACTGCAGGTACTTGGTGTGTAGTATTACTCGGTGTACTGCAGGTACTTGTTTGTGTAGTATTACTCGGTGTACTGCAGGTACTTGTTGTGTAGTATTAACTCGGTGTACTGCGGTACATGTTGTGTAGTATACTCGGTGTACTGCAGGTACTTGTTGTGTAGTAGTTACTCGGTGTACTGCAGGTACTTGTTGTGTAGTATTACTCGGTGTACTGCAGGTACTTGTTGTGTAGTATTACTCGGTCTGTACTGCAGGTACTTGTTTAGTGTATTACTCGGTGTACTGCAGGTACTTGTTGTGTAGTATTACTCGGTGTACTGCAGGTACTTGTCGTGTAGTATTACTCGGTGTACTGCAGGTACTTGTCGTGTAGTATTACTCGGTGTACTGCAGGTACTTGTCGTGTAGTATTACTCGGTGTACTGCAGGTACTTGTCGTGTAGTATTACTCGGTGTACTGCAGGTACTTGTCGTGTAGTATTACTCGTTGTACTGCAGGTACTTGTCGTGTAGTATTACTCGGTGTACTGCAGGTACTTGTCGTGTAGTATTACTCGGTGTACTGCAGGTACTTGTCGTGTAGTATTACTCGGTGTACTGCAGGTACTTGTCGTGTAGTATTACTCGGTGTACTGCAGGTACTTGGTGTGTAGTATTACTCGGTGTACTGCAGGTACTTGTCGTGTAGTATTACTCGTGTACTGCAGGTACTTGTCGTGTAGTATTTACTCGGTGTACTGCAGGTACTTGTCGTTTAGTATTACTCGGGTACTGCAGGTACATGTTGTGGTAGTATTACTCGGTGTACTGCAGGTACTTGTTGTAGTATTACTCAGTGTACTGCAGTACTTGTTGTGTAGTATTACTCGGTTGTACTGCAGGTACTTGGTGTGTAGTATTACTCGTTGTACTGCAGGTACTTGTCGTGTAGTATTACTCAGTGTACTGCAGGTACTTGTGTAGTATTACTCGGTGTACTGCAGGTACTTGTTGTGTAGTATTACTCAGTGTACTGCAGGTACTTGTCGTGTAGTATTACTCGGTGTACTGCAGGTACTTGTCGTGTAGTATTACTCAGTCTACTGCAGGTACTTGTTGTGTAGTATTACTCGGTGTACTGCAGGTACTTGTTGTGTAGTATTACTCGTGTACTGCAGGTACTTGTGTGTAGTATTACTCGGTGTACTGCAGGTACTTGTCGTGTAGTATTACTCAGTGTACTGCAGGTACTTGTTGTGTAGTATTACTCGGTGTACTGCAGGTACTTGGTGTGTAGTATTACTCGGTCTACTGCAGGTACTTGTTGTGTAGTATTACTCGTTGTACTGCAGGTACTTGTTGTGTAGTATTACTCGGTGTACTGCAGGTACTTGTGTGTAGTATTACTCGTGTACTGCAGGTACTTGTCGTGTAGTATTACTCGGTGGACTGCAGGTACTTGTCGTGTAGTATTACTCAGTGTACTGCAGGTACTTGTCGTGTAGTATTACTCGGTGTACTGCAGGTACTTGTCGTGTAGTATTACTCGGTGTACTGCAGGTACTTGTTGTGTAGTATTACTCGGTGTACTGCAGGTACTTGTCGTGTAGTATTACTCGGTGTACTGCAGGTACTTGTTGTGTAGTATACTCAGTGTACTGCAGGTACTTGTCGTGTAGTATTACTCGGTGTACTGCAGGTACTTGTTGTGTAGTATTACTCGGTGTACTGCAGGTACTTGTCGTGTAGTATTACTCGGTGTACTGCAGGTACTTGTTGTGTAGTATTACTCGGTGTACTGCAGGTACTTGTCGTGTAGTATTACTCGGTGTACTGCAGGTACTTGTTGTGTAGTATTACTCGGTGTACTGCAGGTACTTGGTTTGTAGTATTACTCGGTGTACTGCAGGTACTTGTTGTGTAGTATTACTCGGTGTACTGCAGGTACTTGTTGTGTAGTATTACTCAGTCTACTGCAGGTACTTGGTGTGTAGTATTACTCAGTCTACTGCAGGTACTTGTTGTGTAGTATTACTCAGTCTACTGCAGGTACTTGGTGTGTAGTATTACTCGGTGTACTGCAGGTACTTGTTGTGTAGTATTACTCAGTCTACTGCAGGTACTTGGTGTGTAGTATTACTCGGTGTACTGCAGGTACTTGGTGTGTAGTATTACTCGGTGTACTGCAGTACTTGTTGTGTAGTATTACTCGGTGTACTGCAGGTACTTGGGTAGTATTACTGGTGTACTGTCGGTATCTGGGTGTAGTATACTCGGTGTACTGCAGGTACTTGGTGTGTAGTATTACTCGGTGTACTGCAGGTACTTGTTGTGTAGTATTACTCGGTGTACTGCAGGTACTTGTTGTGTAGTATTACTCGGTGTACTGCAGGTACTTGGTGTGTAGTATTACTCGGTGTACTGCAGGTACTTGTTGTGTAGTATTACTCAGTGTACTGCAGGTACTTGTTGTGTAGTATTACTCGGTGTACTGCAGGTACTTGTTGTGTAGTATTACTCGGTGTACTGCAGGTACATGTTGTGTAGTATTACTCGGTGTACTGCAGGTACTTGTTGTGTAGTATTACTCGGTGTACTGCAGGTACTTGGTGTGTAGTATTACTCGGTGTACTGCAGGTACATGTTGTGTAGTATTACTCGGTGTACTGCAGGTACTTGTTGTGTAGTATTACTCGGTGTACTGCAGGTACTTGGTGTGTAGTATTACTCGGTGTACTGCAGGTACTTGGTGTGTAGTATTACTCGGTGTACTGCAGGTACATGTTGTGTAGTATTACTCGGTGGTACTGCAGGTACTTGTTGTGTAGTATTAACTCGGTGTACTGCAGGTACTTGGTGTGTAGTATTACTCGGTGTACTGCAGGTACTTGGTGTGTAGTATTACTCGTACTGCAGGTACTTGTTGTGTAGTATTACTCGTACTGCAGGTACTTGTTGTGTAGTATTACTCGGTGTACTGCAGGTACTTGTTGTGTAGTATTACTCGGTGTACTGCAGGTACTTGTCGTGTAGTATTACTCGGTGTACTGCAGGTACTTGTCGTGTAGTATTACTCGGTGTACTGCAGGTACTTGGTGTGTAGTATTACTCAGTGTACTGCAGGTACTTGTCGTGTAGTATTACTTGGTGTACTGCAGGTACTTGTTGTGTAGTATTACTTGGTGTACTGCAGGTACTTGTTGTGTAGTATTACTCGGTGTACTGCAGGTACTTGTTGTGTAGTATTACTTGGTGTACTGCAGGTACTTGTCGTGTAGTATTACTCGGTGTACTGCAGGTACTTGTTGTGTAGTATTACTCGGTGTACTGCAGGTACTTGTCGTGTAGTATTACTCGGTGTACTGCAGGTACTTGTCGTGTAGTATTACTCGGTGTACTGCAGGTACTTGTCGTGTAGTATTACTCGGTGTACTGCAGGTACTTGTCGTGTAGTATTACTCAGTCTACTGCAGGTACTTGTTGTGTAGTATTACTCGGTGTACTGCAGGTACTTGGTGTGTAGTATTACTCAGTCTACTGCAGGTACTTGTTGTGTAGTATTACTCGGTGTACTGCAGGTACTTGGTGTGTAGTATTACTCGGTGTACTGCAGGTACTTGGTGTGTAGTATTACTCGGTGTACTGCAGGTACTTGTTGTGTAGTATTACTCGGTGTACTGCAGGTACTTGGTGTGTAGTATTACTCGGTGTACTGCAGGTACTTGTTGTGTAGTATTACTCAGTCTACTGCAGGTACTTGGTGTGTAGTATTACTCAGTGTACTGCAGGTACTTGTTGTGTAGTATTACTCAGTGTACTGCAGGTACTTGTTGTGTAGTATTACTCGGTGTACTGCAGGTACTTGTTGTGTAGTATTACTCGGTGTACTGCAGGTACTTGTTGTGTAGTATTACTCGGTGTACTGCAGGTACTTGTCGTGTAGTATTACTCAGTGTACTGCAGGTACTTGTCGTGTAGTATTACTCGGTGTACTGCAGGTACATGTTGTGTAGTATTACTCGGTGTACTGCAGGTACTTGTCGTGTAGTATTACTCGGTGTACTGCAGGTACTTGTTGTGTAGTATTACTCGGTGTACTGCAGGTACTTGTCGTGTAGTATTACTCGGTGTACTGCAGGTACTTGTTGTGTAGTATTACTCAGTGTACTGCAGGTACTTGTCGTGTAGTATTACTCGGTGTACTGCAGGTACATGTTGTGTAGTATTACTCGGTGTACTGCAGGTACTTGTCGTGTAGTATTACTCAGTGTACTGCAGGTACTTGTCGTGTAGTATTACTCGGTGTACTGCAGGTACATGTTGTGTAGTATTACTCGGTGTACTGCAGGTACATGTTGTGTAGTATTACTCGGTGTACTGCAGGTACTTGTCGTGTAGTATTACTCGGTGTACTGCAGGCTCTTACCCTCCAGTACTTGGAGCAGACGACCAGCAGGCTGCTCTGAGTGAAGGTGCAGAAGGAGATGCTCTGACAGCCCTGACAGTAGATGGGTTTGGACTCTTCTTCAAACACAGGGTCCAGGTCCTACACACACACACACACACACACACAAACACACACGCACACACATCAACTGATATATCTTTTGATCCGCATACTGGTCTTTTATTACAGTATTGAAACACTTAATTACAGTCATAGCAATACTGTAAAGGCCGCTTCAGAATCGGAAATAGAATTTTTTTTATTCCGGGGGGAAATTGGGTTTTCTGACAGTGGCTCAATTTTAAATATATTAAAAAATATGTAAATATAAACATAAAAACGTTGTTAAAAAATGTGCACATTGTACTGTCATTATGAAAAAACAATAACAATTTCATAACAAAGACAGTAAAGCTGAAAACTGTGTTCACGTTTAGTGTGGCAGTAGAAATACAGGACTAACACCAAATTAAACCATTGTTTTAAGGAACAAATATCTGTATGGTGGAGTACCTGGATCTTGCTGACCTCCGATGTGATGATCCAAACCTTCAAAATCCCCGTCACTGACACCGCCACCACCGTGTCCTCTACACAGAGACAGAGCGGGGGCCTCGTGGTTAAACACAAATATTCTTCTTTGGAGAATGTATTTGCAACAAAATGTAAAACTGGTCAAAATAACACAAGAGAAGCGTTCAGACCTCCAAGAAGGCAATTCAAATCTGGGGGACGTGTTTAAAGTAGGGATGGGAATTAAAAGCAAATGTATATTCGAATATTCGACCCCCCAAAAAATGGTTAATCGATTAACCGAAATGTACATATCCTAAAAAAAGAAAAAAAAGTGGGAAAAATATTGACAGCTATAGGCCTACAGCTTTCATGCTTAAAACATAACTTGGTTTTTAAATTAAAGAGGGATCAAACACGAACAACATAACGGGTTAGGGTAACGTAACCCTATTACAACAGAGATCAACAACCTATAGCAGGGCCTATGCACAGAATGCAGATATTCAATACTCATTCTTGTTTAAGAATATGAGCATGTCTACTCAGGGGAGAGGCGCGTGCGGAGGCGATTCACAATCAGGCCAGCTGTAGAGAAGACCCTCTCAGCTGGAATGTGGGCATAAGATGAGGTTTGAGCAGTGGCGAACCGTCAGGGCCTTCAAGGTATTCAGAGAATACCCTGGAACACTCAGATAAAACAAACACAAAATCGATTTAATTATATAAATAAAATGTATATAAAATGAATAATGAGAATGGTATCTGTGTTGTTGATCTGTAATATTACAGTGTTACGTTGATTTGTTTGTCCTTCTCGGACCATGCTCTATGCATTTCAGTGGTTTTGTGTTAGAAAAGAAAGCAACCAATCAGATCTTGTTCTGGGTCTCTGGGTAGAATATCCTTCAACAAGGTATTCTACATCCTTGATCGAATGCCCTGGCCGTTGCACTGAATGAGAGCGTACGTTTGGACTGACAGTTTGATCAACCAATCATATATTGATTTGTAGCCAATGGGCGTATTCTTTCAGAGTTCCCCTCGGTTCCAGGGTATTCTAGAAGGCCCGCTAGTTAACTGGCTCGAGACAGAGGATCTAGATGAATGTGACGAAGCAATTCATGCCGTTTTATTGTTTTTAACGTTGAAATGGCAAGAGCAACAGGTGAAGATGAAGTTGTTGCGGAATTGTTGTGAGTACCCTTTTCAAGACGACAATTCAGTGAAAAGACGGACATTATAACGCCGGGGGGGAGGGGGGGGGTGTGTGTGTCTACAGAAGGTCCAGTTGTGATAGACACGGTTCGCCACTGGGTTTGAGTCTGCGTGATCTGCGTGTAGGGAGGGGCAGCAGCCGTATCATTCGCTAGAACTAGCTAGATCTGATGGATTTAGACATAAATGCGAGTGAAGTCTAACCGGACGCGAGAGAGAGAGAGATCAGCACCTGCAGCTCTGCCCGCTGTGAGGGACCGGTGAGCGGAGCAAAACACACCTTTAGACCTAACACACTTAGCTATGGCACTGTCGCATACATGGAATTATTCCATTTGATAATATGTAATCAACTTAGGCACCCCTCCCAAAAAAAAATAATTCATAACTCATATTTGAATACTTGAATAATATCGAATATTCGATGAATCGTTTCCATCCCTAGTTTATAGTAGTGTATAGCTTAAAATAAAAATTAAGTTAAGTTACATTTCCCTCCAATTGAAACCAATAAATAGCAAAACAAGAGAAACTGTTAGATTAGATTTTAGATGTATTTTGCGGAGGTCTCATAATGTTCCAGATCTGAATCTATATATAATCCTGTGTCTCTGACCTTGTGTGCGGTGCGAGCGGATGATGCTCATGGAGCTGATCCAGTCGGGGGAGATCTTGGACACCAGATAGTACAGCACCTCCAGGCTGGTGGCGTCCACCACAAGGATTTCTGGGTAGTGGCCGTTGCAAAGCAGACGTCCCTCTTTCTCAGTGCCGATGGTGAACCGATAGAACTACAGAAATACAGAATAGGAGACGGAAATATAAGGAGAGATGGGAACAGGAGGAAGTCAAATCCCACCCAAAAAAATATAAACCATCCCTTTCCTGGGTCAATTTGAATATGAAATATTCAATGGATGTGTATAATTACATGGACAGTAACTTCATATTGACTATAAAACTGAATATAGGATTTAAATGAAATAACTACTGAATGAAAAGAGAAAGTAAGACTAGTTGGTTTGATAGGACTTTGTTGTACTGGTGTGGAAATGAATGTTTGTTCAAATGAAGTCAACATTTGAGCTACTTTATCACAGTTGTTGCTCATTTGTGAGTGATGATATGAGACTAGGCCAGTACTGGAATGGCATATTCATTTCAAGTCCTACCTGTATGCCAGTGTGAGCACAGGCCAGCTTGGTGAACTCAATACAGCGTCCATCGTTCACATCCCATAGACACATCTCTCTGGAAACACAGACAAAAAGTTAGTTCAACATGAATGAGTAGGAAATGACACGTGTGTGTGTGTTTGGTAATCGACAATAATATTTAGCACATTTAAATAAACTAGTGTAATGCCCTTCATTATGCCACAAAGTAAGTCTATGGAGGCGTTTACAGTCGCGATTCTACAGTCTACAATTGTTTGGACATCAATAAAGTCAAAGCCACATAAAATTATAATTGTTTGCGTAATAAAAGCCTGAACTCACCCGTTCTCTGATGCGCTGACGATGTACTGTTTGTCACTGCATGCACTGGCTTTAGCCAGACAGGTGATGGAGGCTGTGTGACCAAACAGCATGGCCCGGGGACAAATCTGAGGAAGAAAACACATAAGAAAAATATATATAACGGGTAATAAAAAAGATTAAAGATACACAGAGTAAATAAGTGGTGTGTGGTGGCGAAGTCGATAGGGACTTGGCTTGGCAACTGGCCGTTCAAAATGGCAGCACACTGCTCCTAACACTAGGATGGGTCAAATGCAGAGAAACAATTTCCCCACGAGGGATTAATAAAGTCCATCTTGACCAACGCACACACCACCACCTCTGCCCTGATCTGTACCTCCAGCTCAGGCGTCATGTCCCAGATGCAGATTTGTCCGTCGTGGCAGCCGGTGATGATGGTGCTGAAGTTGTCCATCACCAGCAGGCTGCTGATGCAGTGGGTGGGAGCGGTGCGGCCCCATAGCACTATGGGTAGAACCAAGTTGTTCCCCGACATAATGCAGATGTTTCTGGAAGGAGATAGGGACGACATGAGACGAGCCAATGATCTTGTTGAATTGCCCGCATAAGGATTGATAGACAAAGAAACAACTTCACTCTGGGCAACACCAAGCCAAAACAAAAGGGCTCATATCACTATTTAGGGGATTAATGAATGCATCATAATTTAATCTATCTATACTTATGCATATTTATATATTTCCAAACCATACTCTACCCTGCTGTTTGTATATCTTATTTATTTTGATCATGCACTTTTATTCTGGGACATGAATTGTACACACCTTCTAGAAAATGCCTCTACCCTTTTTCTTTCTAGTTTGTATGTAATACGTTTGTTTGTATGTATAGTTCTTAATATGTATATGTGGAGAGCGGTCCAAATGTCATTGTACAGTGCAACTGCATGTTATACTGTAGGCCTACATATGAGAATAAAATATCTTGAATCTTGAAAAGCAAGGGTTAATTGTTTCTGCTATTGTCTTGATCTTGTCCTCTATGAGCTCATTGCTTGATGCTATGTTAATATTCTCCCTGTTTACATCCATCCCAATCAAGCATACGGATTGGAATAGAATAGCGTTACACCATGAATGAGTCACGACTAGTCACTGTCACCAGTTGTGATCCTTTGACCACACTCTTCAACACGCAGTTAATCAAAAACATCACCAGTGTGTGTGTTCAGACATTTACATAATTAACCTTGGCGTTGCATGCATGTTTGCAGACTGTGCAGCAACGTGCAGAGTAACAGGGGACACATTTAATGGAGTCAGGTGCAGGTCACTGATACCAAGTAGAAAGTGAGCAGCAGCACGAGATTATGGAGAAAAATTAAGCTAAAAATCGTAATATCATGGATGAGGACTGATTAACGGTGCAGTGATCTATGAGGCGCTAACGCTATACCTGCAATGTCGCCGCTTCCGGGGTAACGAAACGGCTAACTGAACCAAAACAGGATGTTGAAAACGCTTTATATACGTACCACAACTAAATTACTCCTGGAACATGTCCTTGTAATTGAAGGCTTATCGAAGAACGTCTCCCTCCTTGGCAAAATGAAATTGAAATTGTCCTTCTTATCGTCTTGTTTAGCTCCGATCTGTTCGGTCAGCTGATCACCTGACAACCGGAGCCACATCCGGTTTCGTGTTTTCATAATAAAATTCTGCAGCTTTCGTTTTCCGAGGAGCACACGACACGGTTCCTCGTTCAATAAAACAACCTATAGCACATAGACTTCTTACCCTATGAGCACAAAGGTTCGTCAGTTGAACATAAAAATTACAATAATAATAACACCGCAAGTTGTTAGTAATCTCCGCTTTTATTTTGAAATGTAAAATAACGAATAACATGACTTCAAAGTAAAAGCATAGACCCCATTTTGAAAGTCGATTCTTTATTAAATTGTCGTTTTGTTTGTTTGTTTCCTAATCTTGGGTGTCACGTGCGGATGTCATTTGTCAAGATACACATTTTGACATTTTTAACTATTCTTTTAGTAATAGTTCATGTTTAAAAAAAAAAAGAATGACAACCGGAAGTCGTGTTGTTTTGTTGTTGCCAGCTGCCGCCAGACTGACTGAGCTTCATGGTGGGGAGTCTGCACGTGTTCGGCGAAAAACAGAGGAAATTAGACTAATTTAGCACTTAATTGATAATTTTTGCACTGCCCTGTGTGCCTCTTTGTGGACAGGTTGTAATCTGAGGTATTGAACTCCTGACATGATGATTACAAGAAGAGAAATTGATGTATTGGCGCTCGCTAACAGCATGTGAGTTAGCGTTAGCTGAGAACAACATGCCCAGACTTGTCCCTTACCGCACACGCTGGGAGAAGGAAGGAATAAGGACCCACAACGTTACATAATTTAGTTAATTTTTGTATGACGAATACAATGGATTACCAGTTCCCAGAGCAACTTTACCCTTCGTTTTACAACTGCGGACCTCCAGACTTGGTCCTGAAACACTGTGCAGGAAACTGGGGCTGCTACGACGGAGTCCGACCTCAGGTGGGTCAGCTGTCAAATGCTACTATTTCACATAAACACACGAAAACATATGAATATAAACCATATTTGTAAATATTCTCAAGCCATGCATCGTACTTACTTACATGTCACTGCTATTACAGGGTGTCCGCGGGGTCTTAAAAAGTATTAAAAGCTGATCAATTTAGCGAAAATTAATTAATTAAAATTAAAAAGTATTAAACGGCAATTTCCAAGGTATTACATTTTGTAGCTTGTTTTCAATAAGTATATAAATGGTCCAAAGAGGTTGTATTCTACAGTCTGCCTGAATGTAATCATTGCGTAGGTGTGCAGTGTGATTCTGTGTAGTTTATTGATGGCATCCCGTTGGGTTTGACGTCATCTGAACAGGACATCGCGCGCTCACTGCTTGATAGCGCGCGGAGGCCCGTTTACGCCGGTTGCTAAGCAACATCGTTATGGGGACATGCAAGTCTGCGTCCAAATGGTTTGAAGATAAGGAGGAAGGACAATCAATACTGTATATAGTCAATGTGAGGTGAAGTGTGTCGCCAAGGTAACCGGTTAAAACTCAAAGTGGCGATGAGGTCTTAAAATGTATGGAAAGGGTCTTAAAAAAGGTCTTAAAAGGTTTTACATTTGACTTCAGGATTCCTGCATATACCCTGATTCTGTTAATGAGAATACAAAACATGTCACTCCTTTTGTTCACATCAGGACCACATTGGACAAGGTCTCCTTCAAAAACCTATACTTCTTAGACAATCAAATCTGGACTACATTGTCCTAAATATGATACATTTTATTTGTTATTAAACCTTTATTCTATTTGTGAAAATCATAACAATGTTGAATCCACTGTTTTTCTTTGACATGTTCCAGTGTGGAGCTGTTTTTTGTTTTTACCTTAACAGGATCAGACTTTCTAAGATGTCACCTTTAATGTCAGTCTTCTCGTGGTGTGTTTGTGTTTTCAGGGTGGCTCTGGTCCTCTCTCCAGCTGGACCTTTACCTCCAGGCATCAGGTCAGAGGGGAGACATGGCGTCACACAGAGCCAGCACCAGTTCCCCTCCTGCCCCCCAAACACTGTGAGTCCATGAGGGTCATTCAGGTCTCAGACAGCAGTCCACATCTGGAGAGCTGAAGCAGGAGAGACACTTGACTTCAAATCAGATTTAAAAGGCAAATGTTTTGTTTGGGCACTTGCAGCCTAATCTTTTCCAGAAATGCGACAAAGTACCTAACATGTAATACTGCAATAGACATAATGGTGAAAGTACATTGCAAGAATAAGACAAATATATACAAACATAACTTAAGACAAAAAGATTATACAATAAAGTACTATTTAGTAATGGAAATATTGTAATAGACGCATGAACAGTGTATTATAAACCCAGGCGAGTAGTGACACTTTACACGGCTCAGTCTAACGGCCCGTGGGCTAAAATTGTCTCCGATGTTTGTTGTACTGTTGTTTAAAAAAAGATGCCTTACAACTGCCAACATATTGGACAGTCAATAATGAAATGACAGTGAGATCACACAAAGTTCTGTTGAAGTAGGGCTGCACGATATTGGAAAAAACTGACATTGCGATTTTTTTTTCGATTTCGATTTGCGATATGAAAACATACAGGAATCGAAGAAAATACCGTTTTTTTCCCGCAAACCTTCCTTGAACTTTAATGCTATACAATTGGTATTTTTTAACTATATTTAACCGGATGAAGGATTTTAGAGCAACAAGCTGAGCTAGCTCGGTTAGCAGCTGCCCTGGAGAAACACATGGAACGACTTTATTCAGTGTTTTTACCTTTGATCACCGGGTCCGTTTGCTTTGGAGATTTGATTGTGATTGGTGGTTTGCTGTGCATGCAGAGCCTGTCACTCACTCAAGTACCCCTGACGTGAGAGCCGCGCGAGTTTTCCTTTTGTAGCAGGCAGCAAAATAATTGTAACATGACGTGTTTGAGTTAATTTGCCTACTTAATATCGCAAGTCCTAAAACAATTTTTTTAAATCGCACGTCCACGCGATGTGAATATTGCGCATGCACATATCGCGATTATCGTCACGACACGATATATCGGGCAGCTCTATGTTGAAGTAGGGCTGCTCAATTAATCGTATTTTAATCGTATTTTAATTGCGATTACGATTATGGCTTGCAACGATTACAAAAATGTGAACAGTATGTTTAATTAAAAAATTAATAATAAAAAAATAATAATCCATTATTTTTTTATTATTATTAATTCATTTGTTGGGTTTTTCAGTTGAGTTAAACTTAAAGTTCAGGGTAATCAACTGTTAAAAACATAATGTTCACATTTTTTTTCTCCAATAAATGGATGTTTTCAAAGTCAATGAATAATCGCATTTAATAATCGCAATTACAATTATTGACCCAAATAATCGAGATTATGATTTTTGCCATAATCGAGCAGCCCTATGTTGAAGTACCCTTATATTTAATAAATCATCTGTTTGTGTATTTGTATTTTGTCCAGCTGTCCTCTGGCCTTCGACGCCTCCAGATCCGCAGGATTTCCCAGAACATGTGAGTGTGAAAATTCAACAGTTTACAAACCCCCCCTCTCAGATTCAAGAGACGTCTGTCTTAATCCTTAAATGCCTGTTATCATATACAACACAGATTAAGAAGACGTGTTTCAAAGCACATCCAAGCTCGCCGACCTGAAATCAGTTTTAAGCTTATTTTGGTTCTGTGTTTTAAAGTTTGTGAACATGCTTTGTTTTCAGATGCAGAACTTCTTCATGGACCACTGCCAGGATGCCTTCGGGAGCATGAGCGAAATTCTGAATGAAGACTTCATCTTCAAACAAGGAACGAAAAAGGTGAGATTCACAAGAATATACTTTACGTTCTATAACATGTATTTCTTTAATTTCTTATCAATCCAACGGTTCTTCAAATGTATGGTTGAAAATATGAATAGACGCAAATAGCAGTGAGACCCCTAGCTGCCTTGCAGTTGGTCCGTGGCTCTTTTAAAGCATAAATTCCATTTTGAGCAATTCCCCTATAGTGATACCACATTATCTTTACATGCTATACTAATCAATAAGCTGTTGATCTTGCTTTGTATGACGTTATAATTAGGGATCGACTGATATGGCTTTTTCAAGGCCGATACCGATTATTAATAATAAAGGAGACGATAACCGATATTTGGAACCGATATACATTTGCAGTAAAATCTGAAAATCTTGGTGTCAAAATGTAGAATAACACAAACTCCAACAACTTCTTTGAAATGCATTTAAGCATATATTATGTTTAATGAACTTTTAAACATCTTACAACTGGTTTCCTCTCTGTGCCCTTTTCTTTAGTGCAGCCATCTGCAATGAGTTAGAGAGAGACAAGAAGTGGGGCTGCAGGCTGACATGCTTAACTAACAATAATGCTTCATTTATTATATCAAAACAATGCCTGTCTATCTAGCATAACATCCCAATAAGGACTATTAACTATTACAACTATTAAAAGTGAGGCTATTACAGTAGACCTAACGTTAGTCTAGTATCCTCACTTCTAATATTTTGCTAAACATTTGCTAGATACATGTTGGCTAGCTAATGAGCTTCACATATCAACCTGAAAAACTGCGAGACACTGCACGCACCCCCAACTCTGACTGACTTCCCGCGTCCCTGTGTAACTGGGAAACTGATAGAATTGGATCATAAGATCGTGGTGTTTTTGCAACTTCAGTCTGTGTCTGCGTTCTTTCGCACCTGCCTGTAATCTGAGAAGGTCCCGCCTCTCTGGCTGGCTCCCGCCCGGAAAATCTTCAGTGTTGATTGACACTTCAGTAATAGCCTATCAGATAGCGCTGTGGGCGGGACATTGCTCGTGTACACAGAGTGGTGACTGCAGCCAGAGAAACGGCCGCATCAGAGCCAAAGTTTTATCAGCAATTTGATTTAAAAAAGGACGATACCGATAATCGGTCAAATGCGGAATATTGGCCCCGATAATCGGTCGACCCCTAGTTATAATATGATGTGTTTGGTGTGTTTTGCAGATGTCTCGCATTGACTCAGTCTACATGAGGAAAATGGAAAGCCTCATCAAAAAGGGAAAGTTGAAAAAGTGAGTGGCGCAGACTGACCGGTGAATATCTGTGGCTGTGTGATTGTTGTGTTTATTTGTCCCATCTTTTGTCCAGGCGTCCGTTGTCGTTTCCCTCCAAGGTGCTGAACACGTACGGCTCCATGCTGTCGGACGTGTTGGCCGCCGTGCCCCCCGCCCTGCTTGGCTCCCTGCTGTTCGAGGAGCTGAAGGAGCAGAGGGAGCGCATGCTGTTCTCTGAAGCAGCCACAGGGGGCGCTCTGGCCTTCGTCCCTTTCTCACAGAGCAGCAGCGACTCTCAGAGCGGCTGCCTCCTCTACCCCGGGAACCAGGGGCTGGACTGCCTCAGTATCCTGCAGACTGCATACTTACATTTTGAGACCAGGGGTGTTTCTCAATGTCGAGGAAGGATGCTCCAGAGCCACTATTTCAAGCATACTACGTAATCGAGTGCCGCCGAAGGACTGTTCCAATCTCCAGCATACTTGGAATTCTACCGAGCCCGGCGTACTGCGTTAGGAGAAATTTAGAGGCTGCACATGTGTAGACTCCGCGGGCCTTAAAATCCCCACAATGCTTTGCGCACGTACCAATGTAAGGCGGGGCCTCTCATATGACGCACACCTGCACACTTACTCGCCTGTTCCACTCTTCGTTTTCCGAATGCCAGGAAGGATTCTTGCCTCGCTTCTGAAGCAAGATGCTCGGAAGACATTTGCTACCAAGCAAGCGTACTCAAGATTGAGAAACACCCCAGGGTTGTGGTCCAATAGTGTGTGAATTGCTAAAGGGGAAAACAAAGGAAGCATTGAAGCTACTTTTCTTATCACTAGATTCAAGGCTTTATTGTCATGTGCACTGTAGCTCTTTTCACGACACAGACACAGGTCGGTTCTTTAAAACGGGCGTTTATTTCTTGGGAGTTTTCATCCTGTAGCCTTCCCTCTTCCGTTACGCCGTGAGAACTACAACACCGAAATGACACGCATACATAGCCAAACACATTAGCATATTGTGCTACACATATGAATGAAAACAAGAAAATGAAAACACAAAACAAATACCTCGTTGGCCGCTTGTCGTGAAAGGAGATTAATTTAGTTCCTTTTCTGCATAACTTCGTCACAGACCTCCCGTCACACTAAACTTTATCACAGACCTCAGCAGAGCTTCAAAAAGACGTCAACCCACATGGAGTTGTACAGTGTAACAGCAAAACACGCAGTACCAGCACATGAACAAACATTAGTTCCTAGGCACAAGAAACACATACGCATATCGGCCCAAGATGTAAAACAAACTGTATTAAATCATGCCATATTTAACGATTATAAATAACATGAAATAAAGTATTCATTTATCCAATTGAACGATGACATTAACCGTGTTACTCCTCTTAATTAAGGCAACTTCGTTACGTCATTTACATGCACATTAGCTACAGTGTAGATATGGCAATGAACAACTTAAGTCACAGGCTCCTCCAACAGAGCAACATATATATAAAACTGATAAAATAGTGCAAAAGAATTTGACTAGCTGTTATCATGGCGGCAACTTAGGTCATTTCACTCCGTTTGCAACCTTCCTAGGCAGAAAGACTATTTGGTTTCAAACCCAGAAGACAGTAGCAAAAATAATGGTGGGGGGTGGGTGTAAAGCTGTTTGGTGTTCTTGTTGCATTTTGTTTCTGTTCCTTAACTCAATACCTCAGACTTCCAGGGAGTGGAGCTGCAGCAGCACAGAGGGACCCCCCCCTGTTTGAACACCAGCAGCTCTAATCTGTCGAGCTTCCAGCTGAAGGCCCCCGTCAGACAGATCAGCACCGCCTCACTTATCAACAACTGTAAGCAGCAGAAAGCATTTAGAAATGTCATCAGGAGTGTGATGCGGCTCCGGATATTTGACCACGCCTTGGTTCCCAGGTTGTGTGGCCGTGCGCTCGGATCACCTGTGTGGAGTCTGGAGGTTCAGTGAAGGAAACAAGCCTCAGCTGATGGAAGTTGTCAACACCAAAGAGGTCGCCACCTGCATCAGTGTCAGGTGAGTGGTACCCAGGGAGTTGAATCCCCCCCCGAGGCCTCACTGGTCAGAGGCGAGAGGTTCCTGATATGTGGAAAATGTAAGAAATTAGGACCATGTGTTAAAATAAAGATAATCTGCTTTATGTTCAGTCCTCATGTTCTAGGTGAAGTTCTGGTGGCGAGTGAGAGCGGAGCGGTAGACCTGTGGACCGTCGGCAGAGGGTGAGGACAATTAGTTTGAGGACAAAGTGTTGTTGTTTTTTCAAATCCAATCAGAACTAAAAGTGACCTTTGCTCTTAGGATGCAGAGGGTTCGGGAGGAGGAGGAAAACCTGTACTTCAACGCCAAGTCATCATGGCGATGGTGCGAGTTCTCCGCCCACCCCAGGGTGATGGTGTATGCAGACAGGACGGGGGTGGAGCTCACTGACATCAGGGTGAGTGGTGTTGTTGAGAGTTAATGAATAAGACACTTTGGTAAAAGTCAACTAACTGATGACTTGCAGTAAAATAGATGTAGCTTTTTGATCTAATTTCTGTAAGGGAATTAAATGCATCAATCTTGTAAGTTGTGTTGTAAATATATTCATTCTTACATTTAGTCGAAATAACAGCCAACCTCTTATCCTTTTCAGTTCAAGTTCCATAAAGAAACCTAATAATCTTCTTTTAAAATCTCAGCTAAACACAAAGGTTTTTTTTAATGTATTGACTTTGTCCTTCCTCCTCTGTCTCCTCAGGTGAGTCCTGTCTCAAATCACACTCTGTTTCGTATCAGCAACACCGCCGAATGTCGCAGTGGAGAGAGACTCATCCTGTCCAGATACCTGGCAGACATCCACCCCTTCCACCACCTCATCACCACTCAGGTACGGAAACATTAACAGGGATATAAGACACAGATGGCTTGTCCAAAGTTTATTTAAACACACAGAACTTCGTTTAACATAATAATACTAATGATACTAAAGCGTCCAAAGACACCAAATACTTCACGATAGAAGTTGAAGAAATGTTCATTCTGCTCAAGAAATGTGCAGTACCTCACTGAGACCACTAGGTGTCAGGGTTCTCATATTTGGTGTTTATATTTGAACAATTAGCCTGTGTCTGTTATGTGATGTAATTGTGTTGTTTCAGTTTCAGAAAGTATATTTTGTTAGTGTCCTCTCTCTGACTTTAGCCGTGTCTCTCTGTCAGCACTCGGCCTACATCATGGACGAGCGTTTCCCCTGCGTGCACATGCTCAAGTGGGATCACATGATGCAGTCTCCACCAATGTTCTGTCACACTTTCCCTGGCTCCGCCTCCTCCCGGACCGCTAAGGTTCTGCTGGGCTCCCACAGCTCTCAAGAAATCACCCTGCTGCAGTACTCAGGTCTGTGCAATATGACATTTCTACAAATAAGTGTAAAATGTTTCCTTATTTTTCTATCAAGCCACTAGACGCCTTAAACAGACATTTGTGACTCGTTTTCTTTCCTTTATATTTGTGTTACTTACAGTTGATGAGTTGCTTGGCCTCCAATGGTTTGGATGATATTATGCAATGGGTTTGCTCAAAATAAAATAACAAACGTTTACACATGCAACAAAGAAAAGAGGCCTTTACAATAGTCAAAATAAAAAGGCAAAACTCAAATAACAAACAACTTAGGTATTCTTTCTTGCTTTCTTTCTTTGTTAAGGCTTGTATAACTTGAAGGGTAATTGGACGTTAAAAACTGCCTCGACGGGGTCTTTCTAACAGGTTGCCCATCACTGTCACTTTAGAGGAATTGTAGTCTTTTATACTCTGGTTGACTACAGACGTCACGATTAGGTGGCCTTTCTTATAAAAACAAAATACTGGCTCTAACACAGTGTATTGAGTGTCCAGGTTTAGTTCTTCACTTATATATATGTGTGTGTGTGTGTGTAGGGGGGAAAGCCGAAGCCTGTTCCAGTCGGGGTCCTCCTCAGGCGCTGCTCAGACCCAGAGACAGCCTGAGACACCTTCCTGTCCAACTCCCTCACCGCCTGGAGCTGGCCACCAGCAGACTGTCCTCACCGGCAGCAGGTGTGTGTGTGTGTGTGTGTGTCATATTCAAGTACTTGTGATGTGTAATTTTGAATTTTGAGTAACTAACATACAACTGGTCATTTCCTTTGAAGAATTGAGACCATTATATGTTCGGAGCGGGACGAGAGTGCTCTCTGGGGTTCAAACAGTATTTCTAATTTACCCTAAACATATGGTAGTGAAATTAACATTACAACACTGACATCATTTCTCGTTCATTTCAAATACAAATATTATAATTTTGAGAATTTATCTGCAAAAAATCAGAACTGATGAAAATAACAAAACTGCAGGGTTTTTATGAATCAAATGATGCAAAGAAGAAAAGTACATTTTATAAACATCACAGTACAAATGTTCAAAAATACTTTAGGCATTAATATTGTTGAAAAAACCTGGTTTTACTTTCACAGATTTGACCTTTTAGACATTTAGAGAACATTTTATTTTACACACATGGCTATAAATAGTAAAATGATAGTATTTCTTTCAGTGGTCTGAAAAATGTTTCCACAGCTGTATACACACTCTGTCACAGTGGAGGTGCCAGGTTAGAGCTCTGTCCTAACTGTACGATGTATAATCTACATAATATTCCAGACTTTTACTTAAATCACACGTGGCTGAACTTTTTTTGTTGTGTATTCAGGTCTGACTTGTATCCAGAAGAGAGGAGGAGGAGAGGCAGGGGGCGAGGAGTGTATCTGTATCCTCCAGCTGACGGAGGCGGGGGATATTTTCTACCAGATCCTGGAGCACGAGCAGTCGCACACCCCTCCACCAGCTATGGAGAAAAACACAATTTCAGAGATAAATCCAGCCCAACAACCACCACAGTCGTTGAGGCTCATATCGGAAGTATCGAGCGACGAAGACATAATCGGCCCGACTCAGACGCAGAGCTTTGTGGCTGAAACACAGGAGGAGGAACGGCCAGAACTGGACATGTACGCTTTCTCTAACGAGTCCTGGTCCCCAAGAAAGTCCCGCCGCATAAAGAATTTGCAGCTGCAGGTCATCGTCAATGACTATGACAATGATGAAACCGTGAGTGGACTGGACACAGGTTTGAATGAGGAAACCGTGAGTGAAGAAAAAGCTGATATTCCAGAGGAACCCAGCCGTGTGGAGGAAACAACAAGCGGCAGCCAGAAGCTCAGCGACGGTGTTCTGGTCACATGGAAACAGTGGCTGCAGAAATTGATGCAAAAGAGTCACAAGAATAAGCCCCGCCCACAGCTCAGGCAGCCCTTCAAAATCACAACTAAAGAACTCATCTACCTGTCGTCTGACGATGAAGCGAGAGGAGAGGATTCAGAGGAGAAGGAGCGCGTGGAGAACGTGAGGCGGGACCTCAGAGCGTGCATGACCAACCGCTCGCTGCTCGTTCACAGCGCCGTCTCCGCCTCTCTCGGAGACCAGGAGGTGGTGGAGGTGCCCGACGCGGTGAATACTGACGACTGGGGGGATCCGACGAGCGAGCGCTTCACTGTCTCCTGGCAGGGGGAGGGGGCCTGGCAGGCGTGGTGGGTGGAGAACCTGGGGCTGAACAGGGAGAAGAAGGTGGAGGCTCTGAGGAGGAAGAGGAGGAGGGAGAAGGAGGTGAGGAGAGCGTCCAGTCAGCGCTCGGTGCTGTCCAGCAGCTTCTGCTCGTCTCTGAGCTACCAGTCGGACCTGAGCGACTTCTCAGATCTGTCCGGATGGTCCTCGTCCGCCAGTTTGGGGGCGTGGTCCGACAGCGAGGGGGGGCTGTCCCAGTCGGAGGGGTCTGTAGGGAGCGGGATCCCACGAGCTGCAACACCCTCCTCCAGTCAAACAGACCCCACGCCTCAACCAGGGAACCAGACCCCAACTTCTCAACCAGGGAACCAGACCCCCAGTTCTCAACCAGGGAACCAGACCCCCACTTCTCAACGAGGGAACCAGACCCCCACTTCTCAACCAGGGAACCAGACCCCCACTTCTCAACGAGGGAACCAGACCCCCACTTCTCAACCAGGGAACCAGACCCCCACTTCTCAACGAGGGAACCAGACCCCCACTTCTCAACCAGGGAACCAGACCCCCACTTCTCAACCAGGGAACCAGACCCCCACTTCTCAACCAGGGAACCAGACCCCCACTTCTCAACCAGGGAACCAGACCCCCACTTCTCAACGAGGGAACCAGACCCCCACTTCTCAACGAGGGAACCAGACCCCCACTTCTCAACGAGGGAACCAGACCCCCACTTCTCAACGAGGGAACCAGACCCCCACTTCTCAACGAGGGAACCAGACCCCCAGCAGAACCAACGCCCCCCCAAACACACCTAAACCTCTCGACTCCACCCCGGCCACTGTGAGGAGGAGCAAACCCCAAGAAGACTACCTCAGCGCTCTGTTCGCACCGCAGGTAAGAGGGAGGGGTAACGACTACAGATCTTTCTCGTCCACACAGAAGCTTTGGTGGCGCGTGAGGCTCAGGTTTGGGAAGGCTAAATAACTTTTTTTACCTGATGCTATAGATAAGAGATCAACCGAGATTAACTCAGTGAAAGCACCGCCTGCTGACCAATCAGAGCCAGTGTGCGGAGTTTAAATCTATCAAGTCATATTACAGGAGAAAGGAAATACAGAACAACTGCCGTATGCAGAGAAGACGCCGACGTGTCGCATTTATCATTCATATCATCGATCATATAATTCCTTATCTGAGTCAGCTTCTCCAGTCGTA